CACACTAGGGTGGGTACAAGTGGGAAGGGCCACACGACATGGATCCCCAGTTATGAAACGTTTGGATGCACCTGATCCTCTCTCTCTCCTGCAATAGCCTGCCCAGCTGGTGGTCGGGGGAGAGACTGATGCTAGAACAAGAAGGCCAACAGACAGAAGGTGCTGGGCCAGTGATACACACTTGCTCTGTTAGAGAAGCTGAGGCAGCTATGCCTCGCCACGGCTGTAGCTCGCCCAGTAGCCTGCCAACAGCTTATGGGTTCCAGCACCTCTGGGTCCAGAATAGGACCATGGTGGCCGGAGTAAGGGTGATGTGGCTGAACTAATGTCACACTAACCAACATTTACATAGTTTTCTTCATTTATTTAATTAGATGTATTGCCATTACTTATGTTTTTGTATTATTTTATTCCTTTCACCTTGCCCTTTCTCACTTTCCTCCCAATTCTGGTCATTTTGAAAAGGAGAGTATTATGCTAAGTGAAATAAATCAGTCAGAGAAAGACAAATACCACTTCACTTATATGTGGGATCTAATGAACAAAATAAACAACAAAGTAGAAATAGACTCACAGATACAGAGAACAGACTGACAGCTGTCGGTGGGGGCGGGGTTGAAGAGCTAGGTGAAAGAGATGAAGGGATTAAGCAAAACACACACACACACACACACACACACACACACACTCACACCACAAAAACACCTCATAAACACAGACAATAGTATGGTGACTGCCAGAGGGGAAAGGGGTGGGGGGAGGTGGGAGGGGGTGAAGAGGGGATAAATGGGCGAAGAGGGGATAAATGGTGGCAGAGAGAGACTTGCCTTCGGGCGGTGAGTGCAGATGCAGGGAGCGGAGGGTGTGTTATAGAGTCGTACACCTGAGATCTGCATGGTTTCACTGACCAGTGTCACCCCACAGATTCAATGTAAAAGACGCTAGACATGTTTTGTGCAAGTTCTTCCCTAAAGTCAAACTTATTTAATTATCCATGTTTCTATTTGATAATAACATGTAGTCTGTAGAATATAACTCTGCGTCCGAATTTCTTATATAGTCCATTTATTTGACACAGGAGGCTTCTTAAATATTTCCAGGAGCCACAGTCGTTCTAGACCTCAGCAGTTGTCTGCTGGGCACAGTAAAATGCAAACCTGGAAAGGAATGGCTGTGAATGCATTGCCAGGAGGATGCAGAACCTACTGGCTGTCTCCTCCCTCCCCAACACACGCACTTCTCGCACAGCCTTCCCAACATATCTCAAGTGCTTTCCTGAAAAGTTCTGCTTACCAAATGCTGTTTTTAAAAGCCATGTTGCAACCTACTTCTTTATTTTAGACTTTTCTCTTATCCAATTATATTCGTAAAAAGTACAGGAAAGAAGTCATGTTTAGGGGAAAAAAAAGACAAAAACTTTAATAAGCCTGGAAGATTGGGTCCGTAAACAATAGAACAAGGCTGCCCAGCCAGCGTGGCTCAGTGGTTGAGCGTGGACCTATGAACCAGGTCAGGTCTGATTCCAGTCAAGGGCACATGCCGGGGTTGCAGGCTCCATCCCCAGTAGGGGGTGTGCAGGAGGCAGCCCATCCATGATTCTCTCTCATCATTGATGTTTCTATCTCTCTCTCCCTCTCGCGTCCTCTCTGAAATCAATTTTAAAATATATTTAAACAAATAAACAATAACAAAAAATAGAATGAGACTGAGCAGGATGCAGAAAATTGTACATAATGCTAAGTGGCTAAGCCATTTACCCCCCTGAACCGAGATGTGTGCTGTCCAATATGGTAGCCACTGCCAAGATACAGCTAATTAAGTTTAATTAATTAGATTTGTAAAAGTTAGTTCCTGGGCATAGAAGCCACATTTCTAGTGCTCAGTGGCGACATGTAGCTAGTGGCTACTATATTGGTTAGTGCAGATAGCATATTTCTTTTCTTTTTAAAAAAATAGATTTTATTGATTTTTTACAGAGAGGAAGGGGGAGGGATAGAGAGCTAGAAACATTGATGAGGGAGAAACACCGATCAGATGCCTCCTGCACACCCCCTATTGGGGATGTGCCCACAACCAAGGCACATGCCCCCGACCGGAATCGAACCCGGGACCCTTCAGTCCGCAGGCCGACGCTCCATCCACTGAGCCAAACCGGTTAGGGCCAGATAGCATATTTCTATCATTATAGAAAGTTCTATTGGAAATGAAATTATAATTTTCTACAAATGTCTAGTAACAATTTGATAGTCTGGAAGTCTAGAAAGCAGTAGGCCAACTAGAATGAGTCAGGATACATAGCATCCATAGGTTGTGACAGAGGAGAGGGAGTGTGTGTGTTGGCAGCAGGGAGAGGTGGTGTGCTCCCTATTCAGGAAACTGGGGGATATTGATCCTATTCTCTGAAACAAGAAACACTAAAGGAGTGGAATTGACTTTATTTTTTAGAGGATGGGGTTAAAGGTGAATTTCTGTTTTATCCATTTTAAGTTTGAGATTGTGAGGGACAGTCTAGCGAGATGTACAAAAGACAGTTGGATATAGAAGTTTGGAGGAGTCATTCTCAAGTAGCTTAAAGGGAGATGCATGCATTGTGGATCTCTCATCGCTCCCTTAAAGTAAGTGCCTAGAAGAGAAACTGCTTTTTCAGAGTACGAATATGTGGAGACTTTCCACATTTCTTCCCTGTCCCCGAGTGGCCCTTACGATGTGGTGATAAACAGGCATTCCCTAGTGGCCCTTGTGATGTGGTGATAAACAGATGTTACTGATGGGTGTGGTCAGAGTTACAGCCCTGCCTTTGTGAAAACGGCCAGGGCCCTCTGCTGTATTCCAGTGGCTTTGTAAACACCATACGGTAGTACCCATTTGCGCCCTTATCAGTCCAGGTTCCAGGCAGGAAAACAGAAATTCTCTAAGGAATTTTCAACAGGTAGCACTTACCATGAGAACTCTATACAGAGGCGCTAGGGGTGGGCGAACTTTTTGACTCGAGGGCCACAATGGGTTCTTAAACTGGACCGGAGGGCCGGAACAAAAGCATGGTTGGAGTGTTTGTGTGAACTAATATAAATTCAAAGTAAACATCATTACATAAAAGGGTACGGTTCTTTTTTTTTTTTTTTTTTTTTTAGTTTTATTCATTTCAAACGGGCCGGATCCGGCCCTCGGGGCCGTAGTTTGCTCAAAGGGCAGACCCTGCGATTAAATCACACACTCCTGGCTGCAGGACCTGGCTGAGTCCTAGAGCTGGGACAACAGAGTGAGGGCGGTATTTCCTCATCAGAGCTCCAGAGCAAACTCACCGCTGGGGGCGCCCCTGAGGGTGGGAAGGGAAGACAGGCCACCTAGGAGGGGCTGCTGCACCTGGCTCTGGGGCTTTGTGAGGAACACAGCCGTTCCCCAGGATGCCACCTTCTCACTCCCCGCTTGGGCCTCCTCTGGGCAGGTTAGTGGGAGCCACCTGGCCAGGAAGGCTGGGAAACGTAGTCTGCAGACTCCCAGCCCAACCATCACCACGGAGCAGAGTATCCATGAATACCGGGCTCAGAGGCCACAGGCAAATAACCTGCACTTGGTTAGGGGTACAAACTTTTCCTCCTTTAGCTGTAAATAAAGAAAATGGACTCATTTGATCTTTGATCTTTTATGAACTTGGCAGACTCCAGGCAGGGTCTATCACCATGACTACCATATAAAATGCTCAATAAAGCCCGGCTGGTGTGGCTCCGTGGTTGAGTGTCGACCTATGAACCAGGAGGTCACGGTTTGATTCCCGGTCAAGGGCACATGCCTGGATTGCAGACTCGAGGTCCCCAGTGGGGGGCGTGCAGGAGGCAGCCGGTCCATGATTCTCTCTCATCATGGATGTTTCTAGCTCTCTCTAGCTCTCCCTTTTTCTCTGAAATCAATAAAAAATATATATTTTTAAAAATAAAGTGCTCAATAAATATCACTAAACATTTGAGCAAACAAATGCCTATCTATCCCCATCATTGATAAATAGTTCAAATCAGTACTCAAATTACATGATGGGCAGGTAAAGTTGTTTTTTAAAGAACACTTTAACTCCTATGTACGATTTAGTATTTTCCATTACAGTTGGGATTGTGCTTCTGGACAATTGTCGACAGTTTGGCTCAAACAAACTCACAAAACTTCTTCACAGGTTTGACCGTTTCTTGCGTTGCCTACGGGAGGCAACATAACGTCTCAGTCCACTCCTGACACTGAGTTTGCAATAGGAGTGGATAAGGGTAGTAGCCTTCCAGTGGAGAGGGGAGCACCCCCCTTCCGCCCCCCAGACCCAGGTGTGCAGGGGCCGTTTCCACGCCCGGGGTTATTCCCACTAAGACAACTGCACACGCACAACAAGCGGCCCCCGGGCCTCTGGGCCGCGGTGCTGCCACCCGCCCGCACCCCTGAAGGGAAGAACCCTCGGACTTCCGGGGCTGCTCAGGCGCCGCCCGCTGCCGGGGCAACGGCAAGAAATGATGCGACTCCAAGGCAACCAAGCGCGGCCACGGCGCATGCGCCAGGCGGGGTCACGCTTCCCATCCTCCCGCTCTGAGAGGCAGGCACCGTGCACCCCCCGAGAAGCCTCCTAGCCACGGCCACTCAGGAACGACGGCGCCCCCCGAGGTGACCCCTAGCCAAGGCCACTCAGGAACGACGGCGCCGGGCTCAAACCTGCCGTCCGGCTCCAGGTGGTGCTTTCGGGAAGAAACTGATACCTGGCAACTTTTTAAAACGGAATTAACGGAAAGGGGAACGAAGAAAGCGGTGCACACCTGGGAAGCGGGGCGGACACAACTAGAGTGTCCGACGTCCCGGGAGACGCGGCGGCGACAGAGCCGTCCACACGGCTCCCGCGCCAGGGCTCCGGGGGGCGGGCACTGAGGCCCCGCCCACGCCACGGCGGCTCTCATTGGGCCCCTTCCTGTGGCGTCAAACTTCGGCGTCTGGGAGGAGGCGGGACTTCCTGGCTGGAGAGCCAATTCCGGCCGCGCCGGAAGTGCCCATTGAAGAAAGAATGAAAGGTGCCCGCCGCCTGGCGCTCCAGGCAGGTCTAGTGTTCCGCGGGCTCGGAAGGGAAGTTGGACGGAGATTCCTCCGCTAACCGCCGAGTTCCGGGCTAGCGGGAAGCGAGAGCCCGGACATGGACAGCCGCCTGCAAGAGATCCGCGAGCGGCAGAAGCTACGGCGGCAGCTCCTCGCCCAGCAGGTCCGCGGCCAGGGAGGGGTCGCCGTGCGCGTGCGCGGCCGCCGCGGCCCATCCGCGCTCTCCGTCCGCCCCGCGGCCCCGACCCGTGGCCGAGCCTCCCCTCTGGTTCTCGGCCCCCGCGGTGCCCCGAGGCGTTCCCATTCCGGGTCGCGTGTCGCGGTCGCGGTGGCGATGCTACACCGGACGCCACGTCTGGTTGTCAGCGACCTCACGCGGTGCCCCCCCCCCTCCCCCAGCCCCGGTCTTGGAGTGCATCCCGCCTCCCGGAAGTGCCTTGTCCCCTACCTGCCTCTCCACCAAGTGCGTGCTCCTCTGTGTGTTGCCTTGTCAGCACCTGAGCCTTGAGATGTGGTTTCCTTGTTAAATGGGTGTACAGAATTTGGGGGGCTGGGGGGAAAGGTCATATCTAAAGGCTGCGTTGCAAGTAGCCTGAGTGCGTTGTATCGTAAATCAGTGAGATGGATAGGAGTCGCCTTCGTGAGCCAATTAATTAGGAGTCTTTATTCCAGAGGGCGGTGTTTCCCAAATCTCCGAGCAAACACATAGAGGAAGTTCTCTCTATTTGTACCTTTTTGAGCCCTTTGCCTGCAGATTTCACAAAGAGCTCTGTGTAGGTTATTGTTACAGACAGTTTGTAGCCGATATTTGGCATGAGAATATGGGGATTACTGTCAGTATCGGCATTAGCCTGTTACGTCAGATGGCTAGCTTGCAAGGTCAGACAGCTAAGTTTTCATCTTTTTCTATTATTCAAACTAAAACAGTTATTTTACAGAATAAGGGACTATCTAAAAATAACAGAGGTGACCTACAGAATAAGAGACTGTCTAAGAATAACAGTAGTTCAAACAGCAGTTTTCCAAAGGAGGGATTACTATGCTTCAAGTGTACATTCTAGATTCTGCTATTGCAGCCCACTGTGCGCTGTGCAGTGTCCTGGTGGTCACCCACAGCGTACATGTGAATTTGTGCTCTGTGTCCCAGCACCCCCCTGCTGTGAGTAGTGAGTATTATCTTCACTTACAGGAGGCTCTAGCGCAGCGGTTCTCAACCTGTGGGTCGCGACCCCTTTGGCGGTCGAACGACCCTTTCACAGGGGTCGCCTAAGACCATCCTGCATATGAGATATTTACATGATGATTCATAACAGTAGCAACATGGCAGTAATGAAGTAGCAACGAAAATAATTTTATGGTTGGGTCACAACAGGAGGAACTGTATTTAATGGGCCAGAAGGTTGAGAACCACTGCCCTAGCTGTTCAGTGATTTGACTAGGGGTCAGTCGCTGCTGGGCCAGGAAACGGAACCCAGTTTGTTTCTCTAAAGCAGGGGTCCTCAAACTACGACCCGCGGGCCACATGCAAATACAAATACTGTATTTGTTCCCGTTTTGTTTTTTTTTTGTTTTTTTTTTAAATATATTTTATTGATTTTTTACAGAGAGGAAGGGAGAGAGATAGAGAGCTAGAAACATCGATGAGAGAGAAACATCGGTCAGCCGCCTCCTGCACATCTCCCATTGGGGATGTGCCCACAGCCCAGGTACATGCCCTTGACCAGAATCGAACCTGGGACCTTTCAGTCCGCAGGCCGACGCTCTATCCACTGAGCCAAACCGGTTTCGGCCCGTTTTGTTTTTTTTACTTCAAAATAAGATATGTGCAGTGTGCATAGGAATTTGTTCATAGTTTTTTTTAAACTATAGTCTGGCCCTCCAACGGTCTGTGGGACAGTGAACTGGCCCCCTGTTTAACAAGTTTGAGGACCCCTGCTCTAAAGCGTGTCTTCGCTGCTTCGTGTGTGTAAGTTAACACTTGCTGATGAGTAGAGTAGGCGGGCAGAAAATGCTCAAATCGGAGTCTGTGTTCTACATTTTACCATTCAGATCAGTCGGAGTGATGGAGAGGCTTTACTGAGGCATCTTAATGTGTTGTTGTTTTTTTCAGTAGTAAATCTTGGTTTTAGTTCATGGAAATCTGAAACCTCTATTTTATGATCGTGTGAAAGATTTTTGGTATAGTTTTACAAATGTGGGAATTTGGGATCATGTCAGTCCCTGTCCCTGTGGCATTACAATCTTAGACAAATCAGGTATCTTTTTCTAAGCCTTCTTTGTCCCGACTTTCTGTATCATGTTATCTTCAGTAGCTTCTTGTTGCCGTCAAGTAAAGTCCTTACACTTTAATTTGAATTCAAACTCTGCTTGACTCTAAATACATTATAGAACAGCGGTTCTCAACCTGTGGGTTGCGACCCTTTGGAAGTCGAACGACCCTTTCACAGGGGTCGCCTAAGACCATCGGAAAACACATCTATAATTACATATTGGTTTTGTGATTAACCCCTATGCTTTAATTATGTTCAATTTGTAACAATGAAAATACATTCTGCATATCAGATATTTACATGACGATTCATAACAGCAAAATTACAGTTATGAAGTAGCAACAAAAATAATTTTATGGTTGGGGGTCACCACAACATGAGGAACTGTATTAAAGGGTCTCGGCATTAGGAAGGTTGAGAACCATTGTTATGGAACAACTAGAAGTCCGGTGCACGGATTCGTGCACTGGTGGAGTCCCTTAGCCTGGCCTGCACCCTCTTGCAGTGCGGACCCCTTGGGATATCAGACTGCCGGTCTTGGCCCGATTCCCAGTGCCAACATCCCCCATGGGATATAGTAGCACCTAAAACAACAGGCAGCCAGGCGCCGCATGCTCCCGCTCATCCTGGCCCTGCTGCGCCTTCCACTGTCGCTCAGTAGGGGCTCAGTAGGGTGCTGCCATGGAGGTGGGAGAGGCTCCTGCCTTGCAGCTGCGCTCACGAGTCCGGTGTTTGGCACCTGTCAGCTGAGCAGCGCTCTGGCTGTGGGAGCCCACTGACCACCAGGAGGCAGCTCCTGCGTTAAGCATCTGCCCCCTGGTGGTCGGTGCATGTCGTAGCAACCTGTTGTTCAGTCGTTCAGGTAGGCTTTTGTATATATAGATTATAATTCATTTAACTATGAATAATAGCTAGCCCCCACCCTCAAAGAACGTACAGAATGCAGGAAAACTTGATGGCTGCCATTTACCAAGTCTCTTCCATGTGTCAGGCTCAGCTGAGCTCTTTACCTACATTATTTTCGCTGGTACAGATACACATCCTACAGATGAAAAAAATAAAGCTCAAAGAATTTCAGTTAAGTGCTCAAACCCACAAAGCTGGTGAGTTTGCAAGCTGCAGTTTTAGATCCAAATGCTCCTGGTCTTCTAGTGGGAGGGGCCCCATCCCACCTAAGCGAGGATGTCCAGTATCACCAATGACAGACTTCGCCTTTCCTCACTACTTTTCTCTATATGAACGAGACAGACAGAACATGTTTTTACTTAACCCAGTCACCCCACAATTTTTAAAAAAGGTTGGAGCACGAGAAGACAATTACATGTGTAAGCAGAATTTTGATTTAAAGCATTTCTCTGCAGTATACTGTTTCCTAACATAGGCCTTAGTCGGAAATCTTATTGGTTCCCTCACATTTATTGAGCATGTGCTGTGAGTCAGACTTTATACTGCTGCTGGACATACAGATACAAACAGGACAGACAGTGTTCCTCCCAGGGAGGTTACCGTTCACTGGGGAAGAAATAAACTGATAAAATAACTGAAATATACAAGTAAAGTAATTAGAAGTTGTGATAGAGGTTGTGAAACAATATACCTTGGGAGCAAACAAAAGTAAAATAATTGAAAGTTCCATTAAGTGCTATGGTCTGAATGAGGAAAGGAGGTAGAAAAGAGAACCTCCTGTGGGAGCGGCTGCTTACTCTCTATGCAGCGTCATGGGGACCCCGTTCATGGGGACCCCTCGGAGGAACCAGCTCGGACTCACTGGGTGGGGAGGGGGCGGCGGCCATGAGAAGGGTGGAAAGCTTTCCCGCGTCCTCCGGGGGAGGTGGCTGTGTCTCCTGGGTCAGGAGAGTAGGGTCTGGGAGATTATGGAGCAGTTAAAACTCCAGGAACAGATGCTTTGGAAAAGCATTATCCCTGGAGAGACATGGGTAGATGAAACAGTGGTGACTATTTCAGGTAAATGCTGAGGACTTGTGTCTGATGTGCTAGCACGCCTGCCCCACTTCCTGGCTAAGGGGCTGTTTAATACACATTTCCTCACGCCCCTCTCGTGCATGAGAACAGATGTTCCGCAGGGCCTGTGGGTTGCACTCTGCACTCCGTGGCCCGGCTCCTGAAGATTTCTGTGAGCTGATGCCACACAACGTAGCAGTCTTTTCGGTTTGTTTACATGTGTTGTACTGCAAAATCTTCCCAACTGCCAACCCGACTGCATTACCGTTTTTAAGGAATTAGTAAAGTTCAATATTGTGCCTATAATCATTCTATCTATAAAGACTTGGCTTGAATAAAACTCCATACGTTGTATTAGAGCAGCGGTTCTCAACCTTCTGGCCCTTTAAATACAGTTCCTCATGTTGTGACCCAACCATAAAATTATTTTCGTTGCTATTTCATAACTGCAATGTTCCTACTGTTATAAATGGTAATGTAAATATCTGATATGCAGGATGGTCTTAGGCGACCCCTGTGAAAGGGTCGTTCGACCGCCAAAGGGGTCACGACCCACAGGTTGAGAACCGCTGTATTAGAGCATGGGGTGAATAAGGTATCGCGTGTGAGTGGATGGACGCGAGGTGTCGAACACAGTGCCGACCACACTGGACGCTGTGTGTGAGCTTTCCTGGCCGTTGCAGCTATTACGGAATCATGTTTTACTTACTTTAAAGGAAAAGATTGGCAAAGTGAAGTGTCTTCATTTCAAATTTGACTAAAAGGATCAACTGCCTAGTGACCTCTTTTCTGGTTTTTGTTTTTCTCAGTTGGGAGCCGAGAGTGCCGACAGCATTGGTGCCGTGTTAAATAGCAAAGAGGAGCAGAGAGAGATTGCCGAAACCAGGGAGACTTGCAGGTCCGGCAAGTGGTTTGTTTTTGTTGTTTTACTGACAGCTCACTATTGTGAAAGGATTATTGTTTTAATAAAATGGTCCTAGGTGTGAAGTGTGCTGGTATGGAAGCACCAGGATAAAGATTTCAGAGCCATTGGTTTCTATTGTTCATGAATGATAAACTATTTCTTTTCCGGCTGTAGTAACTTCTCATATAGTAGGACGTGGAATGTTACACCAAGGATTAGCTTATATGCCATAAGTAAATAATTATTTTTAAGTTCCTATAAAAGTAAATAGACTTTACCCTAAAAGTGTTAATCATTTCATAGTTCACAAAGCATTTCAGAATTTCTCAGTTTCTAGTTACCAAGTTGAGCATTAGTTTTGCTAGAGACAGATTAGAATGATACCTAGTTTAGAAGTTCCTTCTTGCCTTATGTCCCTGTAACAGCTTATTTCTCATTTGGTTGCTTACCAATCACGTTTTGTGACTTTTTAGGTGATTTACAAACTGGGTGAACAGATACTGTTTAATCAGGAAAAACGTGCTTCATTCTGTTTTTATTAAGTTATTTCGTGCTACTAGATGCATTTATACATCTGTGCATACCTGTGTGTGATGCGTCAGTTTTACTTCCCAGGGCTTCCTATGATACCTCTGCTCCAAATGCCAAACGGAAGTCTCAGGATGAAGGAGAGACCGATGAGGACAAAATGGAAGAGTATAAGGCAAGTGGAGACTCGGGCAACTTAATGGTCAAGGAAAAATAAGTCCTTCCGATACCAGGTTCTTATTGAGGAAACAAACTTGACCGAAAGCTGAACATGAAAGTGTCTAAAATCATTGTCATAAGTATAATACACGTATAAGCATGTGTATAATCAGTTAGATGAAGACTTTGTATCGCTTTCCTCATTTTAACACCAGAGTGTAAGGATTAAACTGGGTGGTGCACAGAAAGCACTTAGCATGAAGCCCGGTAAGCACTGGGCAATACTGTTCTTCAGTAACAGGCAGGAGGTAAGTAAGTGTATCAGAAACTGGGTATTTGGATCAGATTTCTAAAGGCTACAACACTCTTTTGTGATTTGTGTTCCTCGGTGTTAACAATGGCAATAGAATTAAAATATTTTGAAAATCCATGACCTAGCCAGCAGTGTAGAGCCGTTTCTGAAAGAGGCCCAAAGGCAAAATCCAACTTGTAAATTTGTAATTGCAATATTTAGTTGAAAAGGAAGTATAATGAGAAACCGATCTCCATTTCTTAAAATTAATTGTCCAACTGTATTTAATAGAGAAGAGCATGCATTGTTAGTACTAATTATTAATTCTGTCGTTTGTTGTATTTTGATATATGCTAGTATGCAGTTTAAATGTTTGTGACTGTTTCAGGTCAAACCATATGCAGTTCCCAATATTTGGACAGTTTTGACCTGTAAAGGTAGCTTCATGTGGTTCAATTTAATAGAAATAAAATTGGCCCATTGGTGGTTATTTCTTTTGATTTAAGCTAAATTCTAATATTTATAGTATTATATTTGAGATTAAATAATTCTAGACAACTTGGTCAACAAAACAGTAGTTATAGACTTTTATTGATGAAAATTTTTATTTTATTATGAAAAGAATAAACTAGTTATACCTAATGATAAGAAAGCAAAGATTTTAATGTTCCATTGTAACGATAATGTGAGAAATGTATTACCAGTAGGGAAACAGAACGTGTATGTCTAGTCTTAGTCAAGATACAGTAACCCGTGGACCGTTCCTTCTCTGCTTCAATGTCCACTCCCCTCCGTTCCCAGGATGAGCCTGAGATGCAGCAGGAGGAGGAGAACCTGCCGTATGAGGAAGAGATTTACAAAGACTCCAGCACGTTCCTCAAGGTAAGTCAGTGATTCCAGACTTACGACCCTTCATGTTTCAGCTCTGTGCTGCAAGGATTTTAAATACCTATTTGTTTTCGTAGTTTTTTTTAGATATTAAGGAATCATTGTTATAAAACAAATGTCACTTAAAATTATTCTGTAGCTACTGAGGAAAAACACTATCATTTTAGTTCTGGTGTTTTAATGTCAATCAACTTACATTTTATATGGTGACATAATAAAAAACAAAGCACAGAATTAGGATATCAGAGTACATGCTATTAATTTAATTTTGATTTTTCTTAGGGAACACAGAGTTTAAATCCCCATAATGATTACTGCCAGCATTTTGTAGACACTGGACACAGACCTCAGAATTTCATCAGGGATGTAGGTATGTCAGATTCGTTGGACTGTATAATTTATTTAACTTGTGGATTATTTCTAATTAGGGACTAATTCTAACTGGATTTGTCCTGGGATTTGTTTACAAGGCATAGCCCATTAATTTAAGATCATCATCAGCATTTCATCTCTACTATTTTGTCTCTTCCTTTATCTAATTATAGAAAATGAAAGAATACTCATTTTTACTAGATTCTTTAGGAGATATTTTTTTCTCCAAAAGAGGGAAAAAACATGAGAGAAAGGCAGTTGTTGCTCCCTTTCTCAAGAAGAGAATGATTAAACTTGATATTATCAGCAGAATATTTAACTTAATAAGTAGGAGACATTAAATGGTTGGTGACTTGAACTTGGCTTTGGACATCTGGGTGTTTATCTGCCTACTAGAGGCCTGATGCACGAAAATTCGTGCAAGAGTAGGCCTTTCGCCGAAACCGGTTTGGCTCAGTGGATAGAGCGTCGGCCTGCGGACTGAAAGGTCCCGGGTTCGATTCCGGTCAAGGGCATGTACCTGGGTTGCGGGCACATCCCCAGTGGGGGATGTGCAGGAGCGCTGATCGATGTTTCTCTCTCATCGATGTTTCTGACTCTCTATCTCTCTCCCTTCCTCTCTGTAAAAATCAATAAAATATATTAAAACAAAAAAGAAAGAGTAGGCCTTTCTTCCCCGGCTGCTGGCACCGGCTTCCCTCCGGCACCAGGACCCGGGCTGCTCCCCTTCTTTGGCCACCAGCAGGCACCCGGGATCCCGGCTGCTTCCTTCTGGCCACCCACAGGGACCCGGGACCGGGGCTGGCTTCCCTCGGGCCACCCACCAGGATCGGGGCCCCGGGCTGGCTTCCCTCGAGGCCCCATCTTTGTCCGGAAGACATCTGAAAGGTCTCCCGGTCTAATTAGCATATTACCCTTTTATTATTATAGATGGAGGGAGGATCGTTAGATGTGAAATGTGTGCTGTTTCCTGGGAGGGCTCATCACCTCTGCTCTCTGCATTGGCTTCGAGTGTGTGACATGTGCTTGCGCCCTCAGGTCTGGCGGACAGGTTTGAAGAGTACCCCAAGCTGCGGGAGCTCATCCGCCTGAAGGACGAGCTGATAGCGAAGTCGAACACTCCGCCCATGTAAGCGGTTCCCGCCCTTGTCCTGCTCAGCTTCCGAGCCAGACTTTCCCTCGGGTGCCTTTCCGTTGGGAATCACTCAGCACCACCTGAGCTGACATCATTACGATTCCTTCTTTGTGGTCAAATATATTCGTTTGCTGCTCAGTGCTGGGTGCACAGTAGGTTCTCATTTAATTTGTTTTCAGTTTTTCAGATAATTTGCTTAATTTTTTTTTTTTGAAAATCATTCACATTTCTTCTTGAGTTTACTTAAAATGTTTTAAACTAGCTTTTCTTCTCAAAAAGTTATTTATTGATGGGGAAAGAAAGAAAATTAATAGCATCCAGGGCTACTATGGACATTTTTGGGATATGGTAATTCACTTTAATCTTTGCTAAACAGAATAATGCTTTCCTTAAAACGTGTATAAGGCCTTTGAAATTGGAGACTGTTTATTTCATACTTAGTTTACTTTGAACATTTTGTACATTTATTCGTTTGCTGACATGAGTCTATTAATTAGAACAGCCACAAAGAAGTATTGGGGAAAATGCTAGCAGACTTTAGTATTCATCCTATTTAAAAAGACTTTACATTGAAAGTATTTTATATTTAAATATTTTATATGCAAAATACTTTCATACTCTATGGAAATAACTTTTCAGTGAAGGCTAATGATAAATTATACTAAGTGGCCAGAAAAGACTATTAATATTTTGAAACTTTTTTAGAGGGAGGAATTTAAAATTTACAGAGAAATAGTTTTTCCAGACTAACTAAACAATTAGAGAAAAGCAGTGACCTTCTCTAGAATACTCAGGTGGTGGTGGAAAGGGGTTGAGTCTTACAGCTGAGCGTGGATTTTCAGTGTGAAACCAGGGGGCTACGTGGGAACGGACCGCTTTGTGGTGTGCTTACGTGCATGTCCTAGGGAGGGCGCTGCACGGTGCGCACTGGCGAGAGGCGAGGCCCCCAGTGGTTCGCTCGTTCGGCTGTGGGAATGGCGTCTAGTAACACGGGAAACCTCTCACCACCGCCTGCAAGCGCTCGGAGCCTCTCCTCACTGCCTGTGCTTTCCTCACATAGGTACTTACAGGCGGATATCGAAGCCTTTGACATCAGAGAGCTCACCCCCAAGTTCGATGTGATTCTTCTGGAACCCCCTCTGGAAGAGTATTACAGAGAGACCGGCATCACTGCCAACGAGAAGTGCTGGACTTGGGACGATGTACGGTGAAACGCCGCCTGTGGGGAGCGGTTTGTTCCAGATGATAAAGGCCGTGAATGTCACCCCTCCTTGCGTGGGGCACACGTGCAGACGTGTAGATGCTGTGGCCGCAGGCCTGAGGGGCATTGACAAGTGTGCCAGCCTTTCGAGGCAGCAGTTGCGCGGGCGGTGAGGAGCTGGTCCGCAGGAGACCCAGCCGCAGGGTCCTCGGGGTGAGGCTGGGAGGGTGTGGAATGGTCCGAACGACCGGGAGCTCGCTCTGCATTGGCATTTGGTTAGATGTAAACATCAGGAATAAATACATGTGTCAAGTATAGTGTCTACTCTTTAAGGAGCTGACAGTGTAATGAATAAAAAAGCATGAGTAATTTCAGAATAAAATAATTGTGATAGTTATATTTTCGTAAATAAAATTAAGCAAACTGATAACTTCCATTAGTTACAAAAGTTATGTGTTTGTTATCAGTAACAAAAACAACAGGCATTTCCTAAGCAGCACTCTGCACAAGGCAGTGCTGTGCTGGAGAGTCAGATAATAGGACTCAGTGCTGAGATGGCAGGTTTCATTTTAATTTTGCCCCCAACTTGGAGGTAACTTAACCTGTTTTCATCTCAGTTTTTCTGTAAATATTAAAGGGTTGTTCTCAAGCTGCAGCTTATGGAATCCTGTAACTATGGCTTCCTGTGGCCTCTCCACACGCGTCGGTGCCGTTGTACGCGTGCACGTGTGGTTTCTACAGGAGGAAACGGCTGGAGAACGAGAAGGCTGCGGGTGGACGTTCCCGTTACGCCCCTAAAAATGCGAGCCTCTAGTGGAAGTCCTGACACACCGTGATCGCTCTGGGACGAGTGGGAAACAGTTCTTTCAGGCCCCATTGTTTCGGTTTCTTCCAGATCATGAAGTTGGAGATCGATGAGATTGCGGCCCCTCGGTCGTTCATTTTCCTCTGGTGCGGCTCCGGGGAAGGGCTGGACCTTGGGAGAGTGGTAAGCTGGCGTTTTGTAAAGTGGGTCTTCAAGTTCACAAGAGAAAATGCAATACAATGCATTGCCTAAGACCTTTCAAGATGGGTGTTTTGTCTTTTGTTTCTTGAATGGCAATAACATATTAAGAATAAAAAATATTCAGGAAAGAATGTATGGAAGGCAGTACCCACCCTTAGTTGACTACAGGGGTCACCAACCGGTGGTCCCCAGACCATGGATGGTCCGTGAGGTTCGAAAGGTTGGCGACTGCTGGACTAGTACCAGGAGTGAATCAAAATGGGGTTTATAACGACTGCAGGAAGAGAGCGGTTTCGAGATTTAAAACTCCAGCTCACATCTCAAAAACAAGCTGCCTGGTGTCACTTGCTGCTCATGAGAAGCTAAAAAGTGCTTTTCTGAATTCTGTTAACTCCTGAATTCCAAACGGAATTCAGATGGAATGGGGAAGTAGCCCCGCGCCTGGGATGTAGTTTGAATGAAGGAACGAGAATGACAGGAGGTTCTCGCACCTCGGGTGAAAAGTACCTTGTATTTAATTGTGTTTAGAACTTTCTTCTGTTCGATCGGGGTACCCTGTCGAATGGCTGTATAATAGAGACAGGACTCTCCCACATCTCACTACAGCAGTTCCTGTCACGCCTGGCACTGGGGATTTCAAGCCTCTGGGAAGTTTTTAGTGCTGGCTGGTTATTTTAAGTGTTGATTGCTTTTAGCTAAGGGCTTTTTTAAATTTCCATTTCTAGTGTTTGCGCAAGTGGGGCTACAGAAGATGTGAAGATATTTGTTGGATTAAAACCAATAAAAACAACCCTGGGAAGACTAAGACTTTAGATCCAAAGGCTGTCTTCCAGAGAACAAAGGTATTGCCTCTGCGACCTCGTCATCTTTATCTTTATGTTCTCGATCATTTTTTTAAATTTTCATTATTTTCCAGATGACTGCATATTCTTTAATTAATTTTGGTGGAAAGGTCCTTTTCTCAGACTTGGGCAATGGCACTGAGCATTTATAGGAAGACACCAAGTTCGTGTCTGGTTGCAGCGTAGCTGCTTACAATATCATTAATTCAGGTGTAGAAGTGGTGGCTCGAGATTTACATTTGTCGTGCAGTGGTCACAGGTGAGGCTGCTCGAGTGTGAGTGACTGCGGCCTCCATGGTGTCTGTCACTCCCTGTGACAGTCTGGCTTCACAGCTGGAAGTGTGTGCTCCCAGCCCCTCCCCTTGTTGCGTCAGTCCCCCACCCTGTCCCTCTGGCGACCTCCAGGTGGTTCTGTGTCTGCATCTGTTTCTGTTTTGTTTTGATTATGTTGGTCTTCAGGTTCCACATATAAGTAATATCCTGGCATTTATCTTTCTCTGAGTCATTTCACTTAGTTTCATACCTTCCCGGCCCGTCCATGTTGCTGCAAATGGCAGGCTTCCTTCTCTTCTCTGGCCGCTGCATCCAGTGCGTGTTCTGTGCAGCGTCTTTAGTCAACCTGCCCTCCAGCAGTTCCCTCAGCGGAGCCGTTGGTGGGAGGGTGTTTCTTCTTTAATAGTTTCCTTGGATTGAAACATTCTTTCGAAGGGAACCCAAGCCACCCATCCACTGTTGGTTCGTGGAATCAAGTGGGAGGCTAAGTCTGTTGCATCCACACTCCTGCCGTCAGGTGAAATAGCGAGGGTCTAAAACAGACAACAGGGAGAAGGGTTTGATTTGCACATTGCCTGTGTCAAGTATTTGGAAGTCTATCCAGGCTTAAAGCCTCTTCTCCATATTAAAAGGCTTATATCTTGTGTGCAGTTTGATCCTGGATCATAGTAAGCCCAGTATAACATCATCTTATAGTTCAAAGGTCAAGTTTCATGTTTCCATACCTGTTGAAATAGGTTATGGTTAAGTTTTAGAGGGAAAAGACTCCATGGTCGTTGACTCTGATCTAGAATGTGGTGGCTCCAAGTCCCGTCCTCTTGTCTCGCCTCCCTGGCCACCTCCCCCCACCCAGGAGCCCAGGTCTTGCTGTGTCACCCAGAGCACCGTGTCCTAATGATCCGGAGGACGGAGGATTGGTCAGGAATGGGCCGGGGGTGTCGGAGGCTGATGGTCTCTCCCTGCTGTCAGGAGCACTGCCTCATGGGGATCAAAGGGACCGTGAAGCGCAGCACGGACGGGGACTTCATCCACGCCAACGTCGACATCGACCTGATCATCACGGAGGAGCCTGAGATCGGGAACATAGAGAAGCCCGTGGAGATTTTCCACATCATCGAGCACTTCTGTCTGGGCCGGCGGCGCCTTCACCTCTTTGGAAGAGATAGTACGATTCGGCCAGGTAGGACCTCAGGATGAGAAGAGAGAGCTCGGCCACCTGGGTGCAGGTGTCCGGAGCTCCCTGCCGGGCTGGGTGCAGTGAGGCCTGACGGGCTGGAGGCCTCATCTGGTGCTGCAGGCCTGCCAGGCTCCCCCGGGTCCCCCTGCTGCCGCCGGTCCACTCCCCTCCGCGGCCACTCTGACCCCATCTGTTTTCTGTTTCCTCACGTCCTTACATCATTGAATTGTAGATTCCGGGAGGCAGGGCTGTCTGCACTCCCTCCTCCCCGGCACGCAGGGCCTTCGGTGACTGCGGAACGAAGACGCATGGATGCTGGGTAGTCCTGCAGAAAGCACCGTGCATTTGTGCGATCCAGGTCGGGCTTTAGTAGAGACTGAAACTCCTGGCTTGTTCCTTACATGTGTGGTGGTGGCCTCTTTTCAAAACCTTAGTGATCACCACAGTGTGCATTCGCTATTTTAAAAAGACTAGAAAACAGTTTGCCTCTTAGGGACACTCAGGCTCAGCTGCAGATGAGACCACACAGGCCTCCTGCCCGGAAAGGGCAGTTTCCCTGCTCTTCTTCTCTTCAAATCTTTATGCACTTCGACACGAATGGTGTTTTCACACAGTGAACACAGGAGTGTACAGAACGGCTGCTCCTTGTGGAAGGGGATCCTGGTCAGATCCTTGCTTTCTGGCATTTTGTGATGGATCCAGTAGCCTGAGAATAAGCGTGAGGGTGATGGGCAGGATGCTGTGAACCCAATTCGGGGAGATCCCTGCCCTGCGCTGAAGGATCCCGGCCCGTAGCACTCAGAGCAGATTCCCAGTCTCTCCCCAGACATGCGTCAGCTATGAGACCACCCCTGGGAACCCAGCCCCACAGTGCGACACCCGCGGGACACTCAGTCCCTGTAGCCTCGCTCAGGCGCTTCCCAGGAGGGTGTCGGAGGCTGAGAGCGCAGCCGCCCAGCAGGGGGGCGGGCCGGAGCCTGGACCTGGGGGACTGAGTGGGGGTCTGAGAGAAGTGGCCGTCATCCATAGGAGGGTTCCCTTGACCTGCGTGTGGAGGGGGCTGTCAGGGCTGACGGATGGAAAGAAAGTGGGCGCTGAGGCGGGGACAGCCCCTGTCCGGGTCACTTTCTCCAGTGAAGCTGCGTGGACGGGACTGAGAGTGAGGTCAGGCCTCCTTAGAGAAGACCGTAGAGGCCGCACTTGGACTGTCCAGCGCAGAGGAGCCACTGGCTGAACTTTGCTGGAGGCTCGGGCTTTCAGAGGGAGGGGTTGGGACTCAGGATCCAGGCTGCCTGTCTGAAGGGAGGGGCAGGCGGTGGGGTGTGGGGTGAGGAGCAGAGGGGGCCGGCTGAAGCTGGGGGCAGGGTGGGGAAGGTGGGGCACCTCTGGGGCTGCTGGGCTGGTGCACAAGGAAGGGGGTGGGGGCTGCAGGGCCCTCCTGGGAGGAGGCGCAGTCCCCGTGGGAAGGAGCAGGAGGTGCTTTCTTCCTGAAGGTGCAGCAGCAAGGAGCTGGGCAGGGCCGGGTCTCGGGTCTCCGCCTCCTTGGAAGGGCGGTGCGGGGTGCGGGGCGCACTGGGCCGGGAAGCAGGTGCGGGGAGATGGCGGGCGGGCGAGCTGAGAGCGTCCTCCATCCCGCAGGCTGGCTCACGGTGGGCCCCACGCTGACCAACAGCAACTACAATGCGGAGACCTACGCGTCCTACTTCAGCGCCCCCAACTCCTACCTGACGGGCTGCACCGAGGAGATCGAGAGGCTGCGCCCCAAGTCGCCCCCGCCCAAGTCCAAGGCCGACCGGGGCGGGGGCGCTCCCCGGGGCGGGGGGCGAGGAGGAACCGCTGCGGGCCGCGGACGCGAGCGGAACCGGTCCAACTTCCGCGGGGAGCGCGGGGGCTTCCGGGGGGGCCGCGGAGGTGCACACCGGGGCGGCTTTCCACCCCGGTAACCAGGCCGGTCCCTTCAGCCCTGGCCTCCCCCGCTGTGGCCCCTCCAGGCCCTTCCTCCCCCGCTGTGGCCCCTGCATCTCTGGCCTCCCCCGCGGTGGCCCCTCCAGCCCCGACCTCCCCCGCTGTGGCCGGGACCTCTGTGGGGGCGGCTTTGCACAGCGCTCCCCGTGGGCGCCGCACACTGTAGTTCTGCAGGCGCCGCCTCCCCGCCATGTCCAGGCCTGGACCCCAGGATGAACAGCACAGCACCTTCCCATCCGGCCTGGGGCACCGGCCTCTGCATGTGGCAGTGGAAACGGGGGGAACGGAGGCACCATGGGTGCCGTCTGAGCAGCAGCAGCAGCAGCAGTGGCCGGGTGAGCTTCTTGGTGACACAATAGACACTTTTCTTTTTAAAAAAACCTTGGACTCAGATATAATTCAACTGCACAGGAAATGGAAAGATTGAACAAAATCGCCTCCCAAACCGAAATCTGCTCCCAGTGGAGGAGCTCCCGAGGCCAGCGGAGGGGACCTGCAGGCAGACTCAGCCCGCAGCCCTCGTGGGAGCTCGGCCGCCGCCGCAGGACTCGGCTCCCAGGTCAGACAGGCCCGCTGGCGCAGAGGAGGGGACCGGAGGGAAGGAGGCAGCAAGACCCTGACCCCGGCGCCCGCCTGGGGAGAGCCCTCCTGCGGAGCACATGGCGCCTGGCACACTTCTCGTGGGGGAAGCAGCTGGAACCGCTGACCGGGACAGGAAGGAGCGCCGCTCTGGCCCCTTGGGGTTCCCAGGGCCTGGCTCTGCTGTAAATGAACTTCATGAATGAAATACTGTTGTCCTTGATAAATATCTTCTATTTTGTGTAGGATTTTTCTAATAAAAGCTGAAACTCTGAGACCCGGGAGTCTGTTTTCTGTTATGGAATCGCCTTTGTTCCACATGGAGGCTGATCTCTGGGCCTGGGGCCCTGACAGCAGCTCCTTCCACTAACGCCTGGGTTTGACGAGAAGAGCCGAGTCAGGAAGAGAGTTGAGACCTGCAAGGCCGATGAGGTTGGCTGGCCCACCCTGCCCGTCCTGGTAGTGCAGGTAGTTTAATGCCTTTCTTTTTGAAAAAAGAAAAAAAAGAAAATAGCCTATCTAATAATAGACAAACATGGTAATTGAACGTACCTTCGCTACACCTCCCATTGGCTAATCAGTGCGATATGCAAATTAACTGCCAACAAAGATGGCGGCTAATTTCCATACTGCAGGCAGAGTGGGCCAGCGTGAGCCGCCATCCGGGCCCCCGTGTGTCACCTAAGTCCTGCCACCAGCTGGGACCCCTGTGTGCGGCCCTGGGCGGCCGGGCCCCCCATGTATAGCCCTGGGCGGCGGGGCTTGGCGGTGAGATTGGCCCGAGGAAGCCCTATTCTTGCAGGAATATTACTGCAACAGGCTTCTAGTGTGTGTGTGTATTTTTTTTTTCTTCATTGATTTCAGAGAGGAAGGGGGAGAGAGAAATATCAGTGATGAGAATCATTGATCAGGTACCTCCTGCACGCCCCACACTGGGGATTGAGCCCGCAACCTGGGCGTGTGCCCTGACTGGTAATTGAACCATGACCTCCTAGTTCACAGGTCGATGGTCAAACACTGAGCCAGCCGGCCGGGCTGACTGGTGCCTTTCTTGGTGAAGACCTGGGTGTCACAGTTGGTTGGGGCTTTGCTGAAATAATGGTGTGTTGTCAGCCTTTACAAATCATTGGGAGCCAGGACTGTCCACGTTCACCGGGTGCGACGAACATGGAGGGATGCCCGGTGGCCCAGGTGGGTCCTGAGAAGCACCGGCGAGGAAGCGCCCGTCCCATGGACAGGACTGGTGTGTGGCCGCGCCCTGGGCCCAGCCACGGGGCGGCTGCTGGGCTGCCCGGGCCTGGTCGCCCGGGAGGTGTGTGTCAGTGTCCCTGCCGGAGTTAGGAAACCTCCTTCTAGGTTGGAAGTTAGAGGGAGCCCGCCCACCGTGGAGCAAATAAGAGGAGGGGCTGGGGCGTGCACGGCCTCGATGACCCCGTGTGGCCTCGCGTGGCCTTTAACAAGAGGAAGGAATGGACTCGCTGGGTCCCCTTCCTGCCTGTTGAGGCTGCAGCATCACGTCTACAGTTAAATCTGTTCACTGAGGACGGTTTCCGTGAACACTAACCCATTCCTCTGGCCTCGTCGGCTTTTCATCAGCTTTGCCGTTACCTGCCCCACGTTTTCACAAAGTGGTCCAGGAAGCGCCAGGAGCTCTCCTTTGCTTCCCTGACTGATTCCTCGTTGGGGACAGAAGCTGGCAGATCGCAGGGTCTGACTAGAGAGGTGCTGACAACATGAAGTCGGATTCTGAAAAAAGCCTCCATTTTCCCGAAGTTCTCAAAGTTCTAAGTCGAGCATCCCTAACATACATGTCACCGGCCTCGCTCTCTCGGCCCGATGCTGATGTTTACTCTCAGTGGCTGTCTCCCCCCCTATGCCTGTCTCCCCGGACGGAGGGCTCAGGAGGCCCCAGGCACTCGGCTCCTGACCTCCCCTCGCTGTACAGCACGGGAAGAAGGGATGAGCTGGTGGCACCGGCTGGAACAAGTTGGGGGGAGGATACCAGACCCAAACTCTGCTGAAACAGCCCTGTGGAGACAGCGGAGGTGCAGGGTGGTCGCCGGGACGCACCCAGGGAGAGGCGTCAGGACGGGGACCATGTGGAGGCAGCAGGGGTGCAGGGTGGTCCCGGGACACACCCAGGGAGAGGCGTCAGGACGGGGACCACGTGGAGGCAGCGGGGGTGCAGGGTGGTCCCCGGGACGCACCCAGGGAGAGGCGTCAGGACGGGGACCATGTGGAGACAGCGGGGGTGCAGAGTGGTCGCTGGGACGCACCCAGGGAGAGGTGTCAGGACAGGGACCGAGTGGAGGCAGCGTGGCAGCCGGACTGTCCACAGCGAACAGACCGGCACTGGCAGCAGTGCGCTGCTCGGATGTGAGTAGAAGAGCCTCCTGCGCCCCAAGCACGCGTGGGAACGGACACCCCCTGCCTTGCAGAGGTGCGTGTGGGCTGGGTGAGCGCGTGACGGCCGGGCCCTCGTCCCCGTCTCCGCAGCAGGAGCGATCGATTCCTTTCATGCTGTTGAAGTACTTCCTCCCATCGCAGATGCTGAAGGGCTGGCTGCTTCCTGATTAGTGCCAGCAGCTCACTAGTGCTCTCCTCCTGGATTTAATGACGTGGTCTTTGAAGTGTACAGTTCCAGAGTTTACTGATTTCACAGTCGTATTGACTCGATGAAACGATGGCCCGTTGGGACTCACTCTAACTAGTGCTCTGATCTGAGTTTCCCGTTTCTGTGGCGGTCACAGCAAACCTGGGCTCACAGCGGCCGTCCTTAGAGCAGCCCTGGAGGCCGGGCCCCTGAGGGCCTGCAGTGTCCTGGCTTCGGTGCCTGGGGACCGAGTACAGGTCTCAGCTGTGAAGCTGCACACCCAGGCCTTCGCAGAGAGCCTCCCCTGGCGTGTCCGCGCTGGAGACGCCAGCGCTCAAGGCTCATCGTCCCCTCGGGGGAACCGCTGCCTCACTGAACGGGGACAGCCCGGCAAGCCGGTCCCCAGTGCCGGGCACCCTCGGGCAGATCGCGGGCTCTGACGAGAGAGGTGCTAACAACATGAGGTCGGACACTAAGTAGGTGAGAATCTAGGCACGGAAGCGAAGCGTGAGTGTGAGGGCACAGACGGAGCACCACCTGCTCTCCCCACTCTCCCATGGGTCTCGTCTGTGCTGCTCCCGCTGTGAGGTGTTCTTGGCTCCTCTCAGAAAAGCGGAGCAGCCAGCACCTCAACAAACAGAGATGGACCTCGGGCCGTGGGGCCCGGGCCTGAGGCCGGTGCGGACAGGAGAGCTCCCACCCCGCCAGGTGGGCATCGCGGCTGCGCTCCAGCGGAGGTCACCGCGGCGGGGAGCGGGTACGTCTGAGATGTTCCTGCGAGATCCCTGCCTTTGCCTTTCGTGGAACTAAATTTCTGAAAGTTAATTGTGCTAAACGCTGCGCGCATCTTGTACATTCTGCCCCATGAACACTACGTAACCAGGTTCACTGGACGAGGAAAACAGTTGGTCCGTTGGGCAGGACACCGTCCCCTTTGAGCGCGTGTGGCCGGGACGCTCTGGGACACAGGATCGCAGCCGCGGACGGACACTCGGATGCGACTGCGCCGTTCACCTGCCCACGGGGAGGCCGGGGCCGGGCCTGGGCCTGGGAGGAAAGAACCCCCAGCTTCTCCTGCCCCTTCGTGGGGTTTCCGTTTTGTCTGTAAAGCAGAGGATGGAGGGTCAGGGCAGTTGTGTTCAGAGATGCCCACAGTGGTTCATGCTGGCGACACCACCAAGGTCACTGCCCCCTCACGGCACTGGCATTGGCAGGCGGTGCACACACGGCAACATGAGGGAGAGGCTTGGCCCATCATTCAGTGGGCTGCACGGGTGGGTGGAGGGGTGGCTGTCCCAAAAGCGAGGCTTAGGGGCCTGGCCACAGGGGGTCAAGCTTAGAGCTCACTGGCCCTGGCCGGTAGCTCGGTTGATTAGTGCATCATCCCGATGCACCACGGTTGCGGGTTCGATCCCCGTCAAGGCACGTACAAGAAGCAGCCCATGAATGTGTAAGTGTGACGACAAATAGATATTTCTCTCTCTCAAATCAGTTACAAACAGGTGAGAGCTTACTTTTCTACTGTTCTGCCTTATTGAAACAAGATTTTTAAAGCACACAAGCATGGTTAAGAATATTGTTTTTAGGGCGGGCCGGGCGTCTGGCGGCCCCAGCTGACGAGGCGGTGCAGGCCAGTGGGCGGGCAGCGCGGCTCCCGGGGGAGGAGCCTGGCGGTGGTCAGAGGACTCGGGAGGGAGCCAAAGGCAGAGGCAGCGGAGGCCCCAGCCTTCCTAGGCGGGAGGCGAAGGCCAGACCCCGCCCTGCCGCGCCCTAGGGGCCCGGGGACTCCGGAGCCACCGGCCACCCCGGATCCCTGCCGTCGTGACCGAGGGACGCGGTTACTCCAGAAGATCCACAGAATAGAGGATGCTGCCACGAAGCCTGCCTCTGTCTTTCACACTCAGCCTGCACAACCATTGCCAAGCTGAGACCGATGTCTGCAGACTGTGTTGACAAACTCTGAAGAGCCTGGTTAACACAGGATGACCTAGGAGTGCCTTTCCGTCTCTAACAAGAAACTGTTCATTAGTGACAGGGTCAGTCTTGGTTCTGAATGCTGCAGATCACAGCAGGCGGGATTTCTCCTTTCTTTATTTCTGAAACATTCACTTGACCTTCCATCAGTAAGACTGACTTTTCTAATTTGCTCCGGGAGATATTAATGGAATACAGTCATGTCCACTCAAGACGAGAGGCAGATCAATACTGAGTATGCAGTGTCCTTGTTGGAACAGTTAAAACTATTTTATGAACAGCAGTTGTTTACTGACATAGTGTTAATTGTTGAGGGCACTGAGTTCCCTTGTCATAAGATGGTTCTTGCCACATGTAGCTCTTACTTCAGGGCCATGTTCATGAGTGGGCTAAGTGAAAGCAAACAGACACATGTACACCTGAGGAATGTGGATGCAGCCACCTTACAGATAATAATTACTTACGCGTACACGGGTAATTTGGCAATAAATGACAGCACTGTAGAACAGCTTTATGAAACAGCTTGCTTCCTGCAGGTAGAAGATGTGTTGCAACATTGTCGGGAATATTTAATTAAAAAAATAAATGCAGAGAATTGTGTGCGATTGTTGAGCTTTGCTGATCTGTTCAGTTGTGAGGAATCGAAACAAAGTGCTAAAAGAATGGTGGAGCACAAGTTCACTGTTGTGTGTCACCAGGAAGCGTTCATG